CCTGCCCGCCCTGCGCGCCGCTGGGGCGGCACGGGTCTGAGCTAGCGGGCTGTGTTTTGCCTACCCATCTCTCGCAGCCACCGTGGTGAAGCTGAAGGAGGAGGGGAAGTTGCTGAGACGGGCTCGGCAGGAGATCAGTGAGCAGCTGCTGAGCGCTCAGGTAGGGCTGCAGAGCCGGGAAAGGCCCGGGGGCCCGCTCGCCTGCTCGCCCACTGCGCAGGGCTGTGCGTGTGTGCTTGTCACCGTCTGTGTGACTGAGCCACAGTGGGGTCCACACCATGGGCTGCCCCTTGACGTGCCTGTCTCCTTCCCTCAGACCCAGGTGGCCGAGTTCCAGCAGCTCAAGCAGGCACTGCAGAAGGTGCCTGGACTGAAGGACCCCGGCGTCCTTCCCCAGCTCAGCTTCAGAGGGCAGCCCCAGCGTCCTGGGGTGGAGCAGCCGCTGCCCGTCATCCAGAAGGTACAGAGTCACTGTGTCTTGACCTCGGTGGATACACTGGCCATCATTAACAATATTGCAATAATTAATTCACAGAGGTCCTAACCAACACTCCATTATTTGAACATTTTGAACTCTTTTTATATTGAAAGAATTTAAATAAGTTAGCTCCCTCTTTCTCTCCATGGTGTAACAGATATTCGCCACAACACTGTCACGGTCACTGGCATTATGAATATCATTTTCCAAGACCACATGCCCTTCGTGTCTTGTTAGTTCCTATTGGCTGCCATCTGTGTTCTCAGGTTTCCAGAGAGATGTTCCCTCCCAGCCATGCCCCTGGTGTGGGTGGGGCCAAGGGTTCGGCCGCACCTCCAGGCTCTGAAGGCAAGGCTGTGATTGGCCAGCAGGCTCCTGCTGGGGTGGAGCCAAGACGGGATCTGAACACAGATGTGAAAAAAGAAGGTGGAGTCAGCGAAATCCAGAACCGGAATATGGTACTGATCCGAAACTCGCCCGTCTCTCCTGCACTCTCTCTCTCTCCCCAGCATTTAGCTCAGACATGGACAGCGCCGGTCCTGGAAGTTTTCATTCAAACCCTAAACAAGCTCAGTCAGTTCATCATCGGCTGGAATGCACCAATTTAATGGCTTCGGATGACAGGGCTGCTCACCTCTTTCCTTCACTGTCTCTCCCTGTTTGTACAGACCCTGCCTCTCGCTCAGCTCACACTGTCTCTCCATCTCTCTCTCCCTGTTCGTACAGACCCTGCTCAGTTCAGTTCTCTCACTCTGTCTCCTCTGACTGGTAACACTGACATCTCCTCCCTGCTGCCCCTCCTCTGTATTCCTGCCTCTCTTGCCTCACAGCACATGAGATCATGAGATGGGCGTCCGTCCACAACTGATTTTCTCTGGCAGGTGGCGCCTGTGGCTGCCAGCCAGCTGGAACTGAGGCTCCGAAGAGCTCCGGCCAGCAGACCCACAGGAAACCAGCGGGCCGAGCCGACTGGGCCCAAGTTGAAGAGGCAGGGTGTTGGGCAGCTGGAGAGGTAGAGTGGGGATCCTGTGCTCCTTTCCATCTGCGTCACGTGTATCTAGAGAGGGGGTGGAGAGGAAGAAGAGGACGATTGAGAGATGAGGAAGAGGAAGACTGCAGGAATGAAGTGTC